TGAAGCTCCGTTGAAGACTCGCACAGCTCCCCAGCGCCCCAAGCGTAGACATCAGAGCACATTCGATGCGGCAAGATGAGGAGCAGACTGGTCAATTGGAACTCGATAGGTCTGGACACTTCCCGTGTAGAAAAAAGAATGTTCCGCCGGTCTTTCGCCCGACCACGTGACTGGAAAGACAAGAACAGCTCCGTGCTCGCCAGGTTTGGCTTCATCGCCACTGGTAGAGCCGCCACTGCCGCCGTTCCCAGTCAACTGGACGTAGTACCAGTCCTGTGTGTTAGCGCATTGCTGACGAGCTGCAGCAATCACCACTTGGCGTGTTCCAAGGGTTAAATCCTTGACGTTGTCGCTGTTCGAGTCGTCTTCAACCGTGTAATCTGTCAGGAACTCTGCGGACTGGGAGAAGCTACCAGCTTGCCGTTCAGCTACCGCTCTGACGCGCGTGACGTACGTGGTGTATCCTTTCAGCGACGTCATTGAGATGTTGGCGAGTCGACTGCTGCAGTCCACCAGCTCAGCTGGCAATCGCGTCCACGTCGAGCCGAGAGTTGTGCGGTATTCCACATCGTAGGTTAGCTCTTCCAGTGCATGTCCGCCCAGCACCTCAGGCGTGTTCCAGACCACAGTAAGCGGGTTTCGAGCTACCCGTAAGTTCGCCACAGCACCCGGAGCTGTTTGCAACGTTGTGAATTTGGCTGAAGGCAAACTGAAAGGTCCTTGGCCGTTGGCATTCGTCGCAGCAACTCGAAACTCGCAGGTGGAACCTGGCGGACGCTCCAAGGACGCAACAACAGTTACAAAGGTGTCACTGTTGCCACTAAACCCCGGCGGTATACGCTCACTGATCGTAGTCCAGCCGATCTCACTGTCGCATTGTTGCTGAGCCTGGAAGCTGGTGACGGGGAAGAATTCCCTAGCAAAGATGCCATTTTCCTGCGTGAGTTCTCGACGCATACGCCACGAGATCGTGACATGAGAAGTCGTTGCCGCTAGTAGCTCGGGGGTTGAAGGAGCTCGCGGTACTGGCGTCGCTGGGATCTCCAGTGGTTCACTACTTGCACTCCATGAACTCCAGCCAATAGCGTACGAATACTGCGCTCGAACACGGAAGCTGAAGGCTCGACCAGTCTGCAGTCCCGTGACTTGGTAGCTGCATTCATCCGAGCAAATACGTCCATGTCGATCAGGAGAACTCGGAGCCATGCGGAAGATACTGAACAGCTACTTGGTCTCCGTCTCCAGTCCACTGAGCTGACACCGTCTCTGTATACAGCGACAGCAACGGCAGCGGATCTTCGCCGTCGTACGCCACGAGATCAAAGAGAATGATCCACTCGAACGCTCCATCAGCGTCCAGCGCATTCCTCTCCACCTGCACCTGTGTGACCTGCTCCAGAGACTCGATCGCTGTCTTCATGGCGTCTGCACTGGCGTCGAAAGCGATCGGAGGCGTCACCACACCAGCAGTAGCTCGTCCGCCCAGGATACTCGGACTGGAGCCTTCATACGACAAGCCAAGTCTGAAATACCCATCGTTGATGGACTCGCCATCGTCTGCACGAGTGAAAATACGCTGCTTGGGCACGTGTTCCGTGGCTTGAGCACCTAAGTCGACGCGAAATCCGGTCAGTGAATCCCCCAGCGACTGCCAAGAACGCCTGACCCAGACACTGCGTACTGAACTTCGTAAGGCTTCGACACTAGCAGTACCGCCAGAGGCCTCGAGCGCATTGTCAAAGGCTGACCAGGAGACTAACGCATAGGCAGAGACTGGATTCCCAGGTGCCACACGCTGCAGCTCTGCGTAGACTTGTCGATCCACCTGGACTAAGGCCGCTGGGACATCAACGAACAGTGCCGACACCAACCAGATGCGTATCCAACGCATCGAGGAACTGAGCCGATACCAATCACCTTCACGCGACCCTTGCCGAAGATCGGACAACGGCCATACCCGATTGAACTCGTTCACGACGTCGAGGTCCTGCATGCGCGGGATGATAGAGAGCTCTTGGTCTTGTTATGGAGGTGACTTCCATGTGGCTTCGATAGGTTGCAGGTCTGCCGTACACATGAGCAAAGCCACCGATCCCGCCGATGCTGTGGAGCACTGTCGAGGCGAATGGGATGGCCGCATCAACGTGATCGAGCGTACGTCATAGTGAACCAGACTCCAGTCGAGCACGGGGACACGCGAAGTCAACATACGGAGCGACAAGGCTGTTGGCTAGTGGTAGGCAGGAGTCTTGACGTTGATGACGTAGATGCATGGAGTGAACACAGCACCGCGTACGAGAACTGGTTGAGCACAGCAGTACGTACAGCATTGATGGCTTGGACTCAGCAGATTTGGTGCACTGACAAGCATCGTCATAGCCCGAGAGCAGCCCAGACATGAAGACGGTAGTGGTTGAGCACGGCTGAGCTTGAGCTTGGTTAAACAGCACGCAGTTGCCTTGGAATGCAACTTGTCCACTATAATGTGTCTACGATGCAACTCGACTTTTGTTGTGTGCCAGTAGCTGGTGCCTCGATGCTTGAACTTCACTTGCACCTGATGTCGCTTCATCCGCAGTTGCTGATGAACACTTGAGATCGACCATGAATGCGCCTGGAACCAAGCTTAACCAGGAACAGTTGGTTGCGGCGTGCTTGGAAATGGGCAGGTTAACCAGATGGCCCTAACCTGGAAACCAGCTTCCAAGTTGTTACAGCGTGGGGTGAACTGCGAGCCTGCGATTAGGGCCTGTGGTCCAACCACAAGAGTTTTCACACAAGCCTCTCTTTTTGACGTTCTTCTCAGGACAGTGTAGACACATGAATATGAATATCGTCTGGAGTCTCGACAGCAATCAAGTAGTCGGACCCGGTGCCAGATGCCCGCCGGGACAAGCTGGGCTCGAGCTTCTTGTAGGCCTTGAACTTGTTGGAGCTGCGCACGACCTTCACGTGAGTGACTGGATGCATGCCACTCAATTGATAACAACTCACTGGATAGCCCATCCGCTGTTGAAGTGACAACAATCACGTTAGAAACGGTGTACAAAACAAGAGCGAGTGTGCAAATTGAGTGGCACTACAGTAGATAATAGGCACTCACTCACCCGATGGACAAAAACAGGAATGACTACCGAGGTGCCGCTGACGAATTGCTGCCAATGAACACTTGCCCGCTGGCAGCAATTCGATGCGCTTGTGGTCTCCGACGCAGATTCGCGAATGAAGCTGAAAAGCAAACAGCGGACGCGGCCAGCCAGTGGTTGGTGGCTGAGCTACTTGCGCAAGTAAACAGTCAGCCGGCATCCCATCCGCGGTTCGTGCGCTCGACACTGTCCATCGAGAGCTCGTGCTTGCCAAATTACTCACTGTGGCGGGATCACTCCGTCGCCTTATATTTATGAGGGTGTGTTTTTTCATACGTTATTGCAGTAAACAGGGAGCTATGAGGGTAGAATGATCGTGATATTGAGGGGAACGCGAATAAGAATTATCAGCATACACAGATTAGGTCCAGATGCAAAATACCCATCCGGGTTTGTATCTCCAAAAATTCTTTGCATCAGTGTACCAATTCGCTGGTACCAGCTTGCTCACCGCCAAATGTGGCCGCGCGGTCGGGGCCGTTCCCGTTGCTATGGGCGACAGATTCGTCCACGTGAAGGCAGGAACGCAAGGCGCAACGTCGAAAGTGACGTCCCACGAGTCCAGGGTCCCGACAAAGCCGTCCGCTGCAGTGTCAGTCAACTCAAGCGTCCAGTTCCCGGCAACAGGCAGCTGATGGAAGACCGAGAGCGCTTCGAGACTAGACGTCGACACGAACTGCAGTTTCTCCGTTCCTGGGGCGCATTCGCTCTTATCTGCAGCTTCGTCGGGACTACGTAGCAACACAGGGAACGCTCTGGCATTCGGCGCAGTGCCAGTCGCTCTCTTGTCTCCTTGTAGGCTCCTCAGTCCTTGACTATCGCTCCACGAACAGGAAAGTGAGCACTCTGCTGTCGACCTGGAAACGTTGCAGGTCCGGGGCCAAACACCTGCAAGCCAAGTGTGTGCGGACACGCGTGTGTTATCTGCACACTCACAGACACGTTGACAACGCAGAGTTGCTCTCCACCAGCACTACCACTCTTCCTCCCAAGCGCAAAGACTTGTCCTCCATCCGGAATAGACAAAGCCGATGGCTGACGAGAATCCAGCGACACTGACGTCTGTTTCGCTGTACTGGAGGAGACTGACAGCTCCCACAGATCATTCAGGGCTCGAGGTCCCCACGTCGAGGCGTCATTTGCGTCCGACACGTCGTTCTGCCGTCCTCCGAACAGAATCAAGCGGTCATTCACCACTGCCATCGAGTGTTTCTCTCTTGGAGAAGGTACCAACGCTGGCGGAGGCACAGACCACCACGTCTCCGTGCGCAGATCATATCGCCAGAAATCGTTGGACACTGATCGTGGACTCGGCTGTAATAAACACGGCACTTTGTGTGATCGGCTGCACTCGTAGCTCTTCGCCATTCCTCCAAAGATGTACAGAAAATTGTCCAGCAATGAGAGGGAATGTCCTCGTCTAGCAGACGGAAATCGCTGCAAGGGAGGAGTGTTGGTGACGCGCATTCCTGCTCTCGTGTTCTCCTCGTCTACAGTTCGAGTGACGCAACGTCTCCACGTATTCCTCGGCTTCGTAGGCATACGCAGCGTAACGACATCACTGAAAGTGCCACGTCCATCGAGCAGCAAAGCTTTCACTCGAAAGCGGTACGCAGCCGTCGGCGTAAGACCGTGGAGGGTGAGAGTACCGCTCTTCTCCGTGACATCAGTGGCCGGAAGAGTGACCAAACGTACAAGACGAAAGTCCTCATTGACGGAGCGATTGGCCATCTCGATCACGAATCCTTCCACGAGCTGGGAGAAGCCAAAACGAGGAGCTTTCCAGCTCACTTTGACGCTCGAGGATGTCAGTGGAGTCACTCGGAGCTTGTCTACGGTCTCGTCACTCACTCGTGCTCGCAGACTAGCGTCACTAATCCCAGATTTGAACAAATTAAACAGGTCTCTAAAGGAGACGAAGCTGCTGCCTCCACCGCCTCCAGCTCCGTCAACACCTGCGCCTCCTCCTCCGCCACCGAAAAACCCTCCACCTCCGCCTCCACCCGCTTGTTTGCCACTCTGTCCACTCCCGCCACTTCCATTTCGACCATTCGAAGGCCAATGCGATGCTGTCAACGGAGACACGGCGACGTCCACCAGAGATGTCTGCGGGTTCAACAGACACGTGCCTTCAAGAGAATAGCGATAGGAACCTGCAGTCCCCGCCACACCTGCCGTTGTTGGCGTGGCGCCTGTGCCTCCAGTTGCTAGAACGGAGTAGTCTGCACTACTCGCAGCAAAGCCCCAGTCGAGGTGTCCATGTCTCGCTGGGAGTCCCTCGAAGTCTCTCGTGTCTCCCGGTACATTCGAGGAATGATATTCGTCTCTAGCTGCTTGTCCAGTCACACGTGAGTCGAGTGGGATCGCTGCACCGGATGTTGCATCCGGTGCAAGACCAGACTCTGCTTCATCCAAGCCACCGCCGCCTCCTCCATGGGCACAACAGTAATCCGTCGAGCCCGCACCGCCACCTCCAGCAGCTACGACGGCTGTTCGTCCATTCACGCGCACTTCAGACGCGCCACCGCCTCCGCCGCCTGGGAAATCGCCTGTGCCGCCGTTTCCACCGCCGTTGAACCCACCACGACCGTCTTGAAGGCCTCCACCGCCAACTAAAATGTCCACAGCATCACCGGCACTGACACGGAAAACTCCACGTGCAAAGGCGCCTCCTCCGCCGTTACTCAAGTCGCTTGAAGCTCCGTTTGAAGACCTCGCACCAGCTCCCCCAGCGCCCCAAGCGTAGACATCAAGAGCAACAATTCGATGCGCAAGATGAGGAGCAGACTGGTCAATTGGAACTCGATAGGGGGTCTGGACACCTCGCCGTGTAGAAAAAAAGAAATGTTGCTCCCCGGTTCTTTCGCCCGAACCACGTGATCAGCGAAAGAACACAAAACGCTCCGTGCTCGCCCAGGTTTTGCCCTTCCATCTCCCACTGTGTTAGAACCGCCCACTGCTCGCCCGCTTCCCACGATCCAACTGCGAAGTCAGTAACAGTCCTGTGTGTTTAGCGCATTGCTGACGAAGCTGCAGCAATCACCACTTGGCGTGTTCCAAGGGTTAAATTCTTGACGTTGTCGCTGTTCGAGTCGTCTTCAAGCGTGTAATCTGTCAGGAACTCTGCGGACTGGGAGAAGCTACCAGCTTGCCGTTCAGCTACCGCTCTGACGCGCGTGACGTACGTGGTGTATCCTTTCAGCGACGTCATTGGAGATGTTGGCGGAGTCGAACTGCTGCAGTCCACCAGCTCAGCCTGGGCAAATCGCGGTCCACGTTCGAGCCGAGAAGTTTGTGGCGGGTATTCCACATCGTAGGTTAGCTCTTCCGGTGCATGACCGCCCAGCACCTCAGGCGTGTTCCAGACCACAGTAAGCGGGTCTCGAGCTACCCGTAAGTTCGCCACAGCACCCGGAGCTGTTTGCAACGTTGTGAATTTGGCTGAAGGCAAACTGAAAGGTCCTTGGCCGTTGGCATTCGTCGCAGCAACTCGAAACTCGCAGGTGGAACCTGGCGGACGCTCCAAGGACGCAACAACAGTTACAAAGGTGTCACTGTTGCCACTAAACCCCGGCGGTATACGCTCACTGATCGTAGTCCAGCCGATCTCACTGTCGCATTGTTGCTGAGCCTGGAAGCTGGTGACGGGGAAGAATTCCCTAGCAAAGATGCCATTTTCCTGCGTGAGTTCTCGACGCATACGCCACGAGATCGTGACATGAGAAGTCGTTGCCGCTAGTAGCTTCGAGGTTGAAAGGAAGCTTCCCGGTACTGGCGTTGCTGGGATCTACAGTGGTTCACTACTGGCACTCCATGGAACTCCAGCCAATAGCGTACGAATACTGCGCTCGAACACGGAAGCTGAAGGCTCGACCAGTCTGCAGTCCCCGTGACTTGGTAGCTGCATTCATCCGAGCAAATACGTCCCATGTCGACCAGGAGAACTCGGAGCCATGCGCAGATACTGAACAGCTACTTGGTCTCCGTCTCCAGTCCACTGAGCTGACACCGTCTCTGTATACAGCGACAGCAACGGCAGCGGATCTTCGCCGTCGTACGCCACGAGATCAAAGAGAATGATCCACTCGAACGCTCCATCAGCGTCCAGCGCATTCCTCTCCACCTGCACCTGTGTGACCTGCTCCAGAGACTCGATCGCTGTCTTCATGGCGTCTGCACTGGCGTCAAAAGCGATCGGAGGCGTCACCACACCAGCAGTAGCTCGTCCGCCCAGGATACTCGGACTGGAGCCTTCATACGACAAGCCAAGTCTGAAATACCCATCGTTGATGGACTCGCCATCGTCTGCACGAGCTGCTTGGGCACGTGTTCCGTGGCTTGAGCACCCAAGTCGACGCGAAATCCGGTCAGTGAATCCCCCAGCGACTGCCAGACGCCTGACCCAGACACTGCGTACTGAACTTCGTAGGCTTCGACACTAGCAGTACCGCCAGAGGCCTCGAGCGCATTGTCAAAGGCTGACCAGGAGACTAACGCATAGGCAGAGACTGGATTCCCAGGTGCCACACGCTGCAGCTCTGCGTAGACTTGTCGATCCACCTGGACCACCTGGACTAAGGCCGCTGGGACATCAACGAACAGTGCCGACACCAACCAGATGCGTATCCAACGCATCGAGGAACTGAGCCGATACCAATCACCTTCACGCGACCCTTGCCGAAGATCGGACAACGGCCATACCCGATTGAACTCGTTCACGACGTCGAGGTCCTGCATGCGCGGGATGATAGAGAGCTCTTGGTCTTGTTATGGAGGTGACTTCCATGTGGCTTCGATAGGTTGCAGGTCTGCCGTACACATGAGCAAAGCCACCGATCCCGCCGATGCTGTGGAGCACTGTCGAGGCGAATGGGATGGCCGCATCAACGTGATCGAGCGTACGTCATAGTGAACCAGACTCCAGTCGAGCACGGGGACACGCGAAGTCAACATACGGAGCGACAAGGCTGTTGGCTAGTGGTAGGCAGGAGTCTTGACGTTGATGACGTAGATGCATGGAGTGAACACAGCACCGCGTACGAGAACTGGTTGAGCACAGCAGTACGTACAGCATTGATGGCTTGGACTCAGCAGATTTGGTGCACTGACAAGCATCGTCATAGCCCGAGAGCAGCCCAGACATGAAGACGGTAGTGGTTGAGCACGGCTGAGCTTGAGCTTGGTTAAACAGCACGCAGTTGCCTTGGAATGCAACTTGTCCACTATAATGTGTCTACGATGCAACTCGACTTTTGTTGTGTGCCAGTAGCTGGTGCCTCGATGCTTGAACTTCACTTGCACCTTGATGTCGCTTCATCCGCAGTTGCTGATGACACTTGAGCTCGACCATGAATCGCTCACTGCGACCAAGCTTACCAGGACAGTTGCTCGGCGTGTCTCTCTTACTGTCCAGGTACCAGATGCCGTACCTTGAACAGCTTCAAGTTGTCAGCGTGGGTGACTCGAGCCTCGATAGGCCTTGGTCAACCCAATGATGTCCAACGACGGTCGGTGTGACGGTCTGACAGGACAGTGTAGACACATGAATATGAATATCGTCTGGAATCTCGACAGCAATCAAGTAGTCGGACCCGGTGCCAGATGCCCGCCGGGACAAGCTGGGCTCGAGCTTCTTGTAGGCCTTGAACTTGTTGGAGCTGCGCACGACCTTCACGTGAGTGACTGGATGCATGCCACTCAATTGATAACAACTCACTGGATAGCCCATCCGCTGTTGAAGTGACAACAATCACGTTAGAAACGGTGTACAAAACAAGAGCGAGTGTGCAAATTGAGTGGCACTACAGTAGATAATAGGCACTCACTCACCCGATGGACAAAAACAGGAATGACTACCGAGGTGCCGCTGACGAATTGCTGCCAATGAACACTTGCCCGCTGGCAGCAATTCGATGCGCTTGTGGTCTCCGACGCAGATTCGCGAATGAAGCTGAAAAGCAAACAGCGGACGCGGCCAGCCAGTGGTTGGTGGCTGAGCTACTTGCGCAAGTAAACAGTCAGCCGGGCATCCCATCCGCGGTTCGTGCGCTCGACACTGTCCATCGAGAGCTCGTGCTTGCCAAATTACTCACTGTGGCGGGATCACTCCGTCGTCTTATATTTATGAGGGTGTGTTTTTCATACGTTATTGCAGTAAACAGGGAGCTATGAGGGTAGAATGATCGTGATATTGAAGGGGAACGCAAAATAAGAATTTATCAGCATACACAGATTAGGTCCAGATGCAAAATACCCATCCGGGTTTGTATCTCCAAAAATTCTTTGCATCAGTGTACCAATTCGCTGGTACCATCTTGCTCACCGCCAAATGTGGCCGCGCGGTCGGGGCCGTTCCCGTTGCTATGGGCGACAGATTCGTCCACGTGAAGGCAGGAACGCAAGGCGCAACGTCGAAAGTGACGTCCCACGAGTCCAGGGTCCCGACAAAGCCGTCCGCTGCAGTGTCAGTCAACTCAAGCGTCCAGTTCCCGGCAACAGGCAGCTGATGGAAGACCGAGAGCGCTTCGAGACTAGACGTCGACACGAACTGCAGTTTCTCCGTTCCTGGGGCGCATTCGCTCTTATCTGCAGCTTCGTCGGGACTACGTAGCAACACAGGGAACGCTCTGGCATTCGGCGCAGTGCCAGTCGCTCTCTTGTCTCCTTGTAGGCTCCTCAGTCCTTGACTATCGCTCCACGAACAGGAAAGTGAGCACTCTGCTGTCGACCTGGAAACGTTGCAGGTCCGGGGCCAAACACCTGCAAGCCAAGTGTGTGCGGACACGCGTGTGTTATCTGCACACTCACAGACACGTTGACAACGCAGAGTTGCCCTCCACCAGCACTACCACTCTTCCTCCCAAGCGCAAAGACTTGTCCTCCATCCGGAATAGACAAAGCCGATGGCTGACGAGAATCCAGCGACACTGACGTCTGTTTCGCTGTACTGGAGGAGACCGACAGCTCCCACAAATCATTCAGGGCTCGAGGTCCCCACGTCGAGGCGTCATTTGCGTCCGACACGTCGTTCTGCCGTCCTCCGAATAGAATCAAGCGGTCATTCACCACTGCCATCGAGTGTTTCTCTCTTGGAGAAGGTACCAACGCTGGCGGAGCACAGACCACCAACGTCTCCGTGCGCAGATCATATCGCCAGAAATCGTTGGACACTGATCGTGGACTCGGCTGTAATAAACACGGCACTTTGTGTGCTCGGCTGCACTCGTAGCTCTTCGCCATTCCTCCAAAGAGGTACAGAGAATTGTCCAGCAATGTGAGGGAATGTCCTCGTCTAGCAGACGGAAATCGCTGCAAGGGAGGAGTGTTGGTGACGCGCATTCCTGCTCTCGTGTTCTCCTCGTCTACAGTTCGAGTGACGCAACGTCTCCACGTATTCCTCGGCTTCGTAGGCATACGCAGCGTAACGACATCACTGAAAGTGCCACGTCCATCGAGCAGCAAAGCTTTCACTCGGAAACGGTACGCAGCCGTCGGCGTAAGACCGTGGAGGGTAAGAGTACCGCTCTTCTCCGTGACATCAGTGGCCGGAAGAGTGACCAAACGTACAAGACGAAAGTCCTCATTGACGGAGCGATTGGCCATCTCGATCACGAATCCTTCCACGAGCTGGGAGAAGCCAAAACGAGGAGCTTTCCAGCTCACTTTGACGCTCGAGGATGTCAGTGGAGTCACTCGGAGCTTGTCTACGGTCTCGTCACTCACTCGTGCTCGCAGACTAGCGTCACATAATCCCAGATTTGAACGAATTAAACAGGTCTCTAAAGGAGAA